GGGAGCAGAAGAATAGGCCTGGGAGGCCAACCACAGCCTGTGGGCTCTGAGCCATTGCTACCAAGTGAAATACGTTGTCCAGTGGTACTTAACCACTAGTGTCTTCTCCCTAAGTTCCTCCATGTTAAAGCAGCCTCTTGTGAAGGCTCTCTCAGTTCTGCACAGCAAGCTTTTTGAGCTCACACAGAGCTTTTCCGAGCTTCACTGCTGTGGGGGAAGAATGTTATGAAGTGGTGATTAAAGATGGGGACATGGTGGCATTGTATGCATGGAGATTTGACCTGCTGGTCAATCTGCTGGGGGCACTGTAACAGGAATTCACCTTGAAAATAGTGGCATCTGAGGGAGATAAGAGTTACCATCACCACAGAGAAATTCAGACAGAAATACTCCGGAGAACTACAGGATGAGAGCTACAGATGCAACCTGTAGTGTGAATGTTGGTAGTCCAGAAGAGGTTGGCTCAGGGCGAGAGCTGCAACAGAGGCTCAGAAGCTAGGTGCTGGAAGGCTGGGATCAGCTACCTATGGGTCCAGAGCCGCAGGGAAAGGAAAGGAGGGCAGGGCTCCCAGAGCTACAGGAAGCAGGAGAGAAAAGAGTCTAAGAGTCTAGAAAGTTCCCTCATAACCCCTCTCTGGGGTTTTGGCAACACCCTTAAAGAGAGATGGATCAGGGTCCAGCATTCACAAGCCTAGATTCTTCCTGGTTGCCAATCAGTGCCTCTTAGGAAAGAACTAATGGTCATCACCAAACTTAACAACCAGGGCAGCACTGTTCGGAAGGAGGCAGTTTTTGTCTAACTAAACTGGTTATCAATTCTCCACTTGTATATTATGTGGAACCGTGGTTCAAGTGACCATTTGTTATTTCTATAATAAAGAAATGCGAGGAGCCGTTTCCTAGGGCAGACATGTCTAAATCCAGGTGTTCCTACAGATGGTGTGCTGATTGGACCTCTGCTCAGGGCAAAGTCAAGCCGCCACCACCTGCAGCTCTCACTCTCACTAACCTGGGGTGGGGTAGGGTGTTAATGATGACCTTTTAAAGAGGATAAGGATGAATTTGAATTCTTCACCCATATATTACAAGGATCTGCATGTATGTGTATTCTGAGAGACATTGTAGTTCTACGAGTAATCTCTTTGTATGAACTGTAACTTCTTTCTTAAAATGTATTTTTAGAAATGTTACTGCATATATTTGTTTGTAGTTTTATATATTGTAATTGATCAGCTATAAGGAAAAATATTGGAATTAAAATTCTACCTGTGATTAAAAGACACATTAACATGTTATAATTCTTGACGTCTTCTTTGGAGGTTTCTTCTCTGGGAGATGGGACACTAGACTCTCCAGGTGTACTGCCAATTCCACTGGCCGCTCCTCCTTGGTCTTTGCTGGATCTCCCTTACCTCCCCTAACTTTTCACATCTAACCGAAGACCTTTTCTCCTCTGTTTCTAGACTCATTTGCTTTGTTATCTCATCTGCTCTGTGGCTTTAAATGCCAAATTTATGCTGTCAACTTACATTTTACTTCTCCAGCCCGAACTTCTCATCTAAACTCCAGATTCACAAATCCACCTGCTTCCTTAGCCTCTGTTTGATGTCTATTACTTCTAATTTTTTCCAGTCCAGTCATGTTAACTTCATCCTTCCAGTTGTTCAGGACCGAAACTTAAAAAGTTGTTCTCAACTTCTGTCTTTCTCTCAAAATCCATATCAAATTGCCAGCAAATCTTGTTGCATCTGTCTTCAAAATGTACCTTGAATCTGACTACTTCTCACTACCTCCACTACTATCACCCTGGTCCATCATCTCCCCTTGGACCACCATACTACCCTCTTACTTCCCTCCCTGCCTCTGACTGTGGCCCCCCGCCCCAGTAGGCTCTCCCCAACTCAGCAGCCAGTGGGCACCTGTTAAAATGCAAGTCAGATGTGGTCACTTCTTTATTCAGAGCCTTATAGTGGCTTCCCATTTCCCTCAGAGTGAAATTCACAGTTCTCACTGTGACCACACAGTCTGCACCCCCACCTCCTCCCACTCTGCACTGCTCTCCCTCCTCCAGTCACACTGGTCCCCTTGTTCCTACAACACACTTTGCATGCTCCTGCCTGGGAGCCTTTGATTTGCATGTCCCAGGCTCTTCCCTAGATATCCATGTGCCATTTTCCTGAATAGTACCTTCTCCATGCACTCTTCCCTGACCATGTGATTTAAAATTGTGGTTTCCCATCCTACTCTGTTTTGTCTCTGTTCCCTTCCCCTATCCAAATTTTTGCCATAGCACTCTTCAGCATCTAACATATTACTGTTATTATACATCACTCTTTGCTGTTGTTTGTCTCCCTCACTAGACACCACGGGGCAGAGGCTGTCTGTGTTGTTCTCTGCTAAATCCCCAGTGCCTGGGCACTCAGACCACTAGGCTGATGGACAGAAGAAAGTCTCTCTTAGGGTTCCTGGGTAACTCAGTTGGTTGAGTGTCTGACTCTTGGCATTGGCTCAGGTCATGATCTCAGGATCCAGGGATCCAGCCCAGAGTGGGCTCCACGCTCAGTTAGGAGTCTGCTTAGGGATTCTCTCTCTCTCCCCCTGCCCCTCCACCCTCTCATGGGTGTGCTTTCTCTCTCTCTCTCTAAAATAAATAAATAATTTAAAAAAGTCCTTTCTTTAAGAAGGTAATAATTGAGATAAATCTTACCAACCAAAGATTTGACTTGAAAACTAGGTTTCTTAGTATTGTATCATGTACTCAGTAAGCACACCATAGAACACATTTGAGATGATGAGATATTTTATGTCCTATTTTTTTTTATTTGGAAAAAAAAAGACAATTGCTGTGTGAAATGCAAAACCATCTCTCTGAAAAAAATTGCTCCAATGTTTTCTTGGATATCACTGTCAATATTTGGAGACTGCTTTCCACTAAAAACAGTATTTTAGATGGTGTTATTCTGCTTTAGGTCTGAGGCTTTCTTAATCAATTTAATGAAGAATATTTTATTCAAAGAATAATATTTTATTCACTTTATAGCTTCTTTATAGCTTTATTCTCTGCCATCAATAAAATTTACAATTTTTAAAACCTAGAGGATAACTATGAAAATAATTGAAAATCAAAAAGAATAGTTATTCTGATGAGTGCTCATGAAAATTGTATTTTACTTCATCAGATTCTTTTTGGTGGTAGCCAAAGGTTGGTGCTTCTATTGGAATAATTTCACCAAAAATTAAAATGCATGACACGCTCATGTTTGGTTTCTTATTACCATTCTCCACCAAGAGACACCAGAGCTTCCTGGAGAAATGGCTCATTCCAGACCTGAGGCAAGGAAAGTGCAAGTTGTGCTGAGAATCCTGTTGTGTTCGAAAGCAAGAAAATTCTCAAGAGCTAAGAGGATTATGTCAAAAGGACAAAAGAGTGTGCTAGAAGGGGTTCTTCCTGGCCAAATTTGGGAGAGTTTAAGTATCAAAAACAATGACAGAAACCATTTACAACATATTGATTCAAACTAGATCCACAAAGCAGTAATAACTACTCCCCCCCACCAGACAGAAAGAGATAAAGGAGTGTGAGAGAGCTATTAAATGTAGGGGGAATGATTGCATTAAAGATCGTCATTTTGCAGGCCATGCTAAAATCATTGGTAAAAGATGGTTGGGTTATAAGGTGTTCATGCAGTTGCTAAATTGTCACTGCAGAGATTACTTCTTCCAAACAAAGAGAAAGGTTTAACTTTTCAGTGGAAAGCAAGAGCAGTTAACCCCTTGAACCAAGTGATCCAATTTGAAATTACTAATAGTGGGACATCTTCACATTACATCTCCCTGAGGTGGTGCAACTGGAAGTTTACATTGCCGTAAAGTGTTCTTGCCATAAAGCTGAATCTAGTGAGGCCAAGAGACTTCACTTCCACTTACAAGGAATGCACAGTAAGATGAACAAGTGAAACTCTGATGAAACCCATAGACCAATCTAGAACATGGTCTATTCAACAAGTTAATAGCCTTGACTCTTTAAAAAAATCCATTGCCATAGGAAGAAAAGGAAGAGTGGGGGACTATTCTAGACATAAAAAATACAGAGATATAATAACCAAGTAATACATGAAATTATCTTGATGTTGAGGAAGAAAAATAATCTATGAAAGATGTTTTAGGAAAACTAGGGAAATTTAAATATGGGTGGATAGTAAGTGATGTTATGAAGCTCTTTTTACTTCCCTTAGTTTTGTTTTTGTTGTTGTTGTTGTTGTTGTTGTTTGTTTGATAATGGGATTTTGATAATTAGGAGAATATCTTTATTCTCAGGAAATGATGCTGAGGCACAAGAGCTAAGTGGAATGATGTTTGCAATTCATTTACAAATGAATCAGGAGAAAAGCAAACAGGTGTATGTGTACTTATATTTACACACACCTATTTACATACATATACATCTATAAATATTTAGAGAACATTCATAAATATGGCAAAATATTAAAAAAAATATTTAATCTTGGTGAAGTGTACATAGATATTTATTGTTTTTAAAATTTTTTCTGAATTATGAAAAGTTTTCAAAATAAAAAGTTGGAAAAAACAAAACTGAATGTAAATTAATTTTGAAAACATACTACTCCACTGATGTTTTGTCCTTTGATGAACTATTTTACAAATATCTCAATTGTATCATGTCTTGATACATTTAATTGCAACAGAAAATAGCAGCCACTACCAGGATCAAGAAAGTGGAACTTGCTGTCAGGTCCTGGCTATATAACCTTCATGACTTTGGGCAATTCACTTTTGATCCTTGAGACTTGGTTTCCTCATCTGCATAATGAGAATAATGTCCTGCCTCCCATAAGATATTACGATGATATTATAAACAATTACAAGGCATGGTTCAACCCCAAGTAATATATAGTTGGATCCCTTTTTCTTCTCCTGTGAAGTGAAAATAACTTCATGAAAAAGGAGAACTGGACCAGAAGCTTTCATGAATAGCTTACCTTTTAGACCACAAAATCTACACAGAGCAACAAACATTGCTGATTCCATTTCAGTATTTCTGACTCTGGCTTTATATGCGGCCTTCAAGCAATGTAACTTTTCTTCTCTGGAAAAGGACCCCAGTGCTCCGCCTGGTTGACCCCAGACTGAAAGAGAGTAGAGAACTCTTAGCAACCTGATGTCTTACCAACATGGCAGCAGCATCACTAAGCGGCTTGCTGGGGACCCAAGTGCTCAATGGCTAACTCTAATGCTTGGGTCTGCACTCCTGATAGGACACATCCAGCCATCTGAATTTCCCCCACAAGGCACCTGAAGCACGGCCATGCCTGGCTTAAGAGTCCCTTGTAGTGGGGCGCCTGGGTGGCTCAGTGGGTTAAAGCCTCTGCCTTCGGCTCGGGTCATGGTCTCAGGGTCCTGGGATCGAGCCCCAAATTGGGCTCTCTGCTCAGTGGGGAGCCTGCTTCCTCCTCTCTCTCTGCCTGCCTCTCTGCCTACTTGTGATCTCTGTCTATCAAATAAATACATAGAATCTTTAAAAAGAAAAAAAAGAGTCCCTCGTAGAGAGGAGTCTCCGTAGTGTTGAACACTCCAGCTCTGGGAAAAATAATCCTTGAGAGGCCACAGCAGCTAGCACTGTACTGGGACAGCAAGACCTGGAGGGCTGCCGGGAGATCTGCCCTTTGAGGAAAATCTCAGGTTGCTTCTGTGACTGGGGGATGGCTCAGGGACAGGTGCTGGTGGAGAAGAAGTGGCTTCAAGCCTCTAGAAGCTATTAAGGATCAAGATGGTGGTTGAGACGTTGCAGTTCTCCATCCCCATGAGGACAGTGCTAGTCACATTCAAGCAATCAACTTGTCTCCCTTCTTCCCTGCCACACATGTCTTGGACTGCATGCCACCCTTTTGTGATTGCTTTTTTCCTTCTAGTCTGCTCTCAGGGTTCATTTATCACCTGTGTCAGCTAGTGAAGCCAGAAGGAAGAAGCTTCCTTCTTCCTTTTGGAGAAGCCTCATGCTATTTTGCCTCCCCCACTGTGCCCGCGCAGCTCCCGCTTGAGTGAGGTGGGTTGAAGCAGGAAGGCTGATACACTCTGTCACCAACCATTATTTGCACAGTCCCCATTTTGGCTCCCTTTCCACTCTTTTTCTCCCTTTTCTCTTATACGCTCCTTCCACCCTGGCTGTCTGCTTCTCCTTGTTCCCTCCTCCTCAGTGCTGTCTGCCAACACCATCTAAGTCAGTTCAAACTCCCATGTCCCAGAAGCTGAGCAGGTAACATCAATGAGGGAAGAACAGCCTGGCCTCACCTTCAGCAAAGTTAGCCTGGATGATAGCTGGGGCTTGCCAGGGCTGCCATGCTTATATTATTTTATATTTTTTATGTTATGTTATCTCAAGAAGCCAAAAATCTGGACTTTCTTGTGAAACCTCCAGAAATTTTCAACGTTGGCAAACTAATTCACATTTTAAAAAATACTGTGCAGGCCAAAGAAAACATTGACTCCAACAGGCTGCCATTTGCAAGCTGTGGCTAAAACCTATCGATGACCCTCCCAGTGAAGGGGCCCGTGGCCTTTGACAGAGTCTCAACCTTATCAGACCCAACATGCCTCCTATTCTATAACACATATGTACTGACACCCCTTTTACTAACCTGAAGTAACATTTGAAGATAATATAACCTGTTTCCATACATAATTTTTTAAAAAAATTCAAAATAATACCCTAAGTCTGATCCAAGGGAAAAGAAAAGAAACATAATTTAAGATGAGATAATACCAAATTTGATGAACATACATGAATGCAACAACGCTACAAGATTTCTAGAAGGCCATTCAAGGAATGGTAACAATCCTGCTTAGGTTCTTTCTTCTAGAATGAGCAGGGTCTGCCCTTGAGGGTGTTTTCTCCTGGCCCCTCTCCCACCCCTTGGCAAATCACCTGATTTCAGGAACCCTCATGGTTGAGAGATAAAAGCGCCATTCTGAGACAACCCATCCCTTTAGACTTCCTCCCCAAATATTCCTCCCTATTTCCTGGTCCCCACTCTTCCCTGGGTATGGTTGAATGTACCTCAAAATGGCAGAAACATAGAATCGGCATTTCCTCTTTTCCAGAGTCACCAATTTAAATTAAAGGCATAAACAGAGATAAGATTTGGCTAACATTGCTAATTGTATTTTAGTATTTGATTTGTTCTTGGAGGATTAAACCCACTCTCAATATAAATTCATTATGGATGTTTGTCTGCTGCTTATTATGTCCTTACATTCTTACGCTCTAGTAAGTCAAAAAGGCTGTTTCAGTTCCTTTTGTAAATCCCCAACTATTTAATTTTCTAAAGCAGAGTTTTTAATGTAAAATATGGCTTTGAATAACAAAGAGTTGCTGACAATTTTCTGTTGCTTTCCCAGTTTAGAACTTCTTGTCACCTTCATAAAAATCCTAGGTATATATCATGTGTCTGCTAAGGACTGCAAAGGGGGGGGATTCCCTTGCTAGAGCTGGGGAGCTCCTGGGGCAGTTCCTTGTCAAGTTGAGTACTTCAGGGGGTGATGTCGTCCAAGATTCCCTATTCGAGCCAGGGCTCAAGGAAGGAGTCTGTGGCAGCATCTGCTATTACCGCAGACCCCAGGGCAGTATTGCAATGTGGGATTAAAAGAGTGGTTACAGAAAATGTCACTTAGAGTTTACTTTTGACATGTAGTATGTAATCCATTCTGCCAACATTAATTAATGCTGGTTGCTAATGATTCTCCCTATTTTCATCTTTTAAATTATTTTCTTTTGCAAATGCAATTAAATAAGAACATTCAAAACAGGCATTTACATTTGCTGTCTTTCCAGATTCACATTTACAACGTGATCAGGTTTAGATTTCAAGACAAACATGACTCTTGGACATGCAAATTAGTAGTGGCCTTCAGGCTCAAATTTGAGTAAATTAGGTCAGGAATAAAGTAAATGAGCCTGCCACCAAGTAGCTTTCATAAAGTGATGTGACTACTTGATATTTAATCTTCTCTGCAACTCCTTGATTACTATAATTTCTTTGCATCTCTATCCTTTCTCCCTTCTGATTCTTGTCACATCCATCCTCCCCCACTCCAACCCCACGTAAATTAGGCCTCTTGGCTGACCTTTTATTGCTGCAAAGCCTGGGTTGCTGAGGGAACTCAGGAACTCAAGTCTCAGGGACCTGAGAAACCATTTACTGCCAACTCCCATTCTCCCTGCCTACAATGCTGTCTTGTCCTCTCCTACACTCTTTCATCAAACTACCTCCAACTCATTCTTCAGGTATGCACATAAGTCAGTTCTTTCAAAACTGAATCATGGAGGGGGAAAAAATAAAAAGCAATATGGATAAGTCACATTAAATCTCCCCAACCCAGGTTTGATCTAGTTTTTGACCCATTCTGGTTTCTGTTTACAGCCTGGATAAGGGGACATATATTGATAGTGCCCTAGACTCTGTGTGTCTTAACATTTATTATACTTTGTAATTACTCACTGTTTGTCTATTATAACATACGAGCTCTATAAAGGTAAGAGCAATGTCTGTTTACTCTTGTCCTGCAAGCCTAGCATTATGCCTATTACATTATAGGTACTCAATAAAAATTTGTTGAATGAGTGAATGCTTCCATAGAGATGCCATAGGGCAGAGATCTGCAAACTATAACCCATGGGCCAAATTCAGTCTGTCTTTATAAATAAAGTTTTATTGCAACATAGCCACATTCATTCATTTACATATTATCTCTGGATGCTTACACACTACAACAGTAGAGTTGAGAAGTTCCAACAGAAATCATATGATCTGCAAAGCCTAAAATATTTACTATCTGATGCTTTACAGAAGAAGTTTATCAACCCCTGACTCAGAGAACAACCATATCCATCTGGGTTTTTATAAATTCCAATATTGATCAACATGAGATTGATTAAGAAGGTCCAGGGAGAGACCCATGATGAAAGAGACTTGGTGGGTCAGATACTTTTAAAATAAGTAAAAAATAAGTCAAATATGTGTCTCCTTGAATTATTCACACTGTCCCAAGAACAGGAAAGTGATTGAGAAGGAATTTGAAAATGTGGGCATCAAAAGTGATATTATTCACCTAGCATCCTAAGATTTAGATATTTTAGAACATTAATATCTTGGTTAAAATCTCTTAAAGGTCAAAGTACCATTTAATCAGGTATTATATCCTCGATTTGTTGGCTCATCTAAGGAGTGGGAACATCAACAAAGGAATGAGTTTTACCTCCTTCGTCTCTGAATGTAATGCTGCTTAAAACAAAACAAACATTCTCATCCTATCAATAAGCTAAGGCTCCTAATGAGGACAAAACTTCAAAATGAAGGTCTCCACAACAGCACAGTGGTTTCATTTCCCACCATTCATAGACTTTCATTGAGATACTGGGGAAGCCTATGGGCTGGATACATTGTGTTGCCACAAAATGAAAGAACTAGGATCCATGACCATGAGCTGGATGGTCAGCAGAGTGCCTTGCACATGCTGGACCCTTGTTCATATCACATGGCAGACACAGCATCAAGGATGGTACACTGCATGGACATGGGCAATGAAGACAGATCCTTAGAACCCACAACCCCAAATTATAAGCAATCTTAATAACAATTTTATGCATTTCATCCCCAAATGCACTGTTATCTACCACCTATTATTTGGGGGTAACACTGGTGGAACAACAGTCCAGAAGGATGCTTGATTTAACAATGATGGCCAACATTCTCCCTCTCTTTCTGGATGGGCATCCACAGATGTTCTTTATGCCACCTGTAAGGGCCATGGCTGGACTTGACCCTATACAAAGTCAAGTGGTAGAAAGGGCATAATCCTTGTGAACATGTCTGTTTCTAGTGAAGCATCACTCCACAACCAGTGGTTCTGGCAACTGGACAAGTCACTTCTCTAATTCTTTGTCCAAGGTTTCCAAGGTCACACTTATTCCAGAACTGTATTATTCTGAAAGCCCTTTTGACAATGCCCATGCAGTCCTGTCACACCGTCAACCAAACCTTCTTGGTTACAATGTTCTGTCTGTATTTGCATTTGGTGACATGGTAAAATCACCTCCTTCCAACGCCTGCTCCTGGAGAAAAGATTGAAAAAGAAAGGAGGTTTCCTCAGAACTTGGCGTCAACCCAGTGTGGAAGCAGAGGCACAGACACTGACCAGAGGAAAAAGGGAGGGGGGAGGGGGCCCTGGCCAAACCTTAGGAAACATCACCAGACCCTTCTCTAAAAACCCAGCCTGATCTCTTCTGGTGCATGAGGAAAATAGCCACCAAGTAATGGAATGTAGTTGCTGACATGAGCTAAAACAGAGCTTTCCTAAGGGCTCTGAAGTCTGCTTCCTTAGCTGACAAACGAGGCAAATCTTAGTGATTAATTTTTCCCTCCAAGCACTTATTTCTGTCACTTATAAAATTCCTCAGCCTCAAAATTTACTCATACTTATACTCAAAACTTACACTTACCCTCATACATATTTGTCAACAGTTCTTCCATTCTTCCCCTTAAGAATACCTAAGTCCATCTGGGCAATAGGCTGTGTGATCTCTCATGCCAGATTTCCGTGGAGGAAAAAAGAGGAAGATAAAAAGGAAATATTTCTTTAGATTTCTTTAATTTTTTTTTAAAGTTTAAATTTCTTTAAATTTCCTCAAGCCCAGCCTCCTGACACTTTCTAGCCCATCTGGGTATCTGCTGGGCTCTGAGTATGTTGCTCTATTTTGGCAGCTACCCTGTAGGGAAAAATCACTTGGATTTAATAATAGAAATCAACCCATCTCACCTATTCTCCCTGATGTACCAGTTCCGATAACAGTAACATCACAGCACCAGACATGGTACAGTAATTTGATGAGTTTGTGAAGCGTAGGCATAATGGAAATGGAGGGAATGCCAGTGCCATGCGGTTGAGAGAAAAGAGAAAGTCATTATACATCTTGCAAACTGGTACATGCACAGGACATATTTTCTTCCTTCATTACAAGTTAACAGCCCTCAGATTAATTTACATAATCATTATGACTTTGCCAAAGCTGATGAAAACGTAAGTCAGCTCTAACTGACGCCTACCTGACATGCTGATAGATGTGTCCATCTGCGGGGATCAGACAGAGACATCTCCCTGCCAGTTACACTGAGTTCAGCCCTCATTGTCAAGAGCAGGAGGTGGGGATGGCATGGTGTACGGGTGTGTCCGGGCATGGCCATTTCTCATCGCCCCACAGGGCTCTTTTCAGTGAGCCTTTGAAAAAGAGCTTTTTGCAAGATTGACTTGATTCTGAGGAAATATAAATTTGGCTGCCTTGTAATTAGTCCTCTTCCACTGTACTGAATGAAAGAGTAAATCCATTTCATTGCGCTCATGGTGGCCTTGTTCATTCTCTGCTAATTCAGGGAGAACTCTGAAAGGTATGAGGGTAGAAGTATGGGTTACATTCACACCTCACCATTCAGAGCATAGCTGAGGTTGTGTTGCTATACTCAGGACCATAACCCTCAGCATTTGCTATAATAAAATCATTATCACCAGAATATTTAGAAGATTTAGTAACTCCTGGTAGTTATAATATGTTCTAATAACTCTCTAGAAAGACCCTCTAAGCTGGAATTTGTAGTAGCTGGAACTGAGTTTTGAATCAGTGGCTATTTCATTCTTAACATAATATTAGACGGTCAAATGTGTTCTTCAACATGTTCTCCTCTTCGGTACAAAGACTTTGCATTGGGCAGGCACCAGGGGCATCTTGGCAATAAAGTGATACCTGCTACTAATTCTCTCACTAAATCTGGAAACCCATTGTAACCATAACCACAATGTGCTCAGCTGAGTTCTCTCCCTTTCACCATCAAGAATATTAAACTAGGGAAAGTTTGAACCTCTGGCTTCCCCATTTTTGGTTCCCACTGAACATGTCCTGACTTCCAAAGGCACTGTAAGCCTCCTGGAGACATGAATCAAAGTTGTATTAATTTGTAGGTCCAAGATTAACAAGTCTGGGCTTTGGCACTGGCTCTACCATTAATGAGTAGACTCTCTAAATCTCATTTTCCTTGACTATAAATTAAGAGAATGAACTATTATTTGATCTATTGGGTTCCTTCTAAATCAGATATTTGATAGGTTTATGATTATCACTTATTATGCAACATGATATATTATGATACAATATTCCTGCTAAAGTCTGTCTCTCTCTCCCTCTCTCTCTTTCTCTCTCTCTGTCACACATGAGCACGTGCAGGCACACACACACACACACACACACACACACACACACACCCCTTCAGTGGCTGCTGGAGAGAAAGAATTTTTAAAGAAGGAGTCCCAATTGGAAATCTCTGTCTGCCTAGTGAGGACTGCTCTTAATTGGTTGACCTCTGGACATGATATATATTTCAGGTCTTTTTCCCAGACAGGACAGCAGGATCCGTCTAGTGCTGTTTTTATTTCTGACTCTGAAGTTTTACTGCTTGTTTATGATAGTTTCATATTTATATAAATGTTACCTTTTTTGCAGTTACCCATTTACTGTGCAAAAAAGGACAAATGGTTGTAGTCTAAAAGTCAAGTGAATATTAGTAAAACAAAATTTGCCGGAATTGGAGAATACTCAGCTTCCTTCTAATGTAGACATTCTACAATTGTTGAATGAACAAATGACTAAATGAATGGGTTCCCCCATCTGAGCCTCACAAGCAGGTATGAGGCCTTCTTGGTCCAAATCCACTTAGCTGCCCAGCTGGCCTTCATCATCTTCCCTTCTAGGTACTATCTGGTGGTTGACGGATGAGGGCTGTCCTCTGGGGTGGGAGCTGCAGGTAATTCAGCTCCTTAGAAGTGTCACACATGTGCAGTGGACTCCTGCCCTATCCTCTGGCACACCTGGCTGGGCCTCTTAGGAGGGCTGCAGTGTTCAGACACATGAGAGACAGAGAGCAATTGTTTCGGAATATGGACCTGTGGCAGAGAGACAAAAAGACCATCTGGGTGCTCTCGTGTAGACACTCTCCTTGTGGGGATGCTCCCCGGAGTCCAAGAGGGAAAAGGTCTATGTGTTCCCTAAAATGGTAAATCAGTCCACTTTCATTTTGTCTTAGGACACCATGTGTGTCCAGAGCTGTTAACGTAGTCCAGATCCAGGGAGCAGGTCACAAGAGCTTGTGGAAATGCATTAGCAGCTTTTCAGCAAGCTGATTATAGTGTTAAACAGCATGTTTTGACAATCTGGAAAATTGGCCCTGTGTACGAAAAGCTCAACATTCCCAAAGCTGGAAAGGGGTAGAGGAGAGAAAATTGCTGGAGGCCTAATCAGTTCTAAACAAAGAGAGGAGGTGTGCTTTGAGGGTGACCCCCCCACTTGAATAGCTAAGTGGTAGCTAATAAACTAAATAAAGTGACACTGAATGCCATGTTCTACCCCTAGAATTTTTTCCAACCATGAATGCCACACCTGGGCACTTAGTTTAATTGTGTGAAAATGCAAAGCAGGTGAGGAGAAAGAACTCCTGTATGCAGAATTTCCCACCTTTTTCTGTTAGCTTGTAATGACCGCCTGAAGGGCAACCATTGAGTACTTAGACCAATGGAGGACACAGAATGACTTTTGGGCATGCAATATCCGTCCATCCTTTACGTCCTTTCTACTTTCCTCCACCAGCTCCTTGCACATGAACACTGAAAACTCTTTCACTGTGTTGGGGATCCCCCCAATGCAGATTCTTAATAAATGTAAACAAAACCTGCCTTATAACCAAGATAAGAACCAAGGGTCAGCTTTCAACTTTAATGTTTTAATTTTATTTTTTCAATGATTTACTTAAGGGTATGTATAGACGCTATGGGTTATGTTCATGAGTTAGCTAATTTACATCATTGCCCCGTAAATAAGGCAACCAGATGCCAAGTTTGATGTACTTAATTAGTAAAGGAAAAGGTAATCACAAAATCAAAGTAGGTGTTGATTTAGTTCAAGTAGGTGTTTCCCGGTGTTGCTGTTTATAGTGAACATCCACCAGCCTCTTAAGTTGATACAGACAGCTCATTTGAGTGCCTTAGCAGGCCATATGCTTATCATGGCCATGGAATACAAGTAACAGGAGGAAAAAAAGTTTTAGTTTTATAAAAAAACACATAAAAGTGAGTTTTAGATATGTCTTCTCATTCCATATTCCCAAACAGTAGTTTTCATTGTAAAATGTGCTACGTGAACTTAAAGCTTTAAAGAAATCACACCAAGACTTTCCAACTTCTCCTTCAGAAGAAATTCTCATGGAATAAGCCTTATCATGTAGACTGGAAATCTTGCCACGCTATTTCACCAATTCTAGTGATTTCTTTTTGTTTTTGTTTTGTTCCCATTTTAATATCTCTGACATTTTCACAGGTGTTGCAGTCAAGGGTGTCCAATCGAATAAAACACGGTGATAAAACTGTCTGGGAGTTTTATCAGCTTGTGCAAAAGCCTATCAGGGGTGCACCAGCCTTGGGGATGGGTGAGCTGGAGACCAGAGAGAGGATGGCAGCCACCTAACAGCATGGGCAGCCTGGTGAGCACCAGCAGTGACGTCAGAGACCCAAGGACGTATAGCTCATAGAAGAGCACCAGAAGCAAAGCCATTTGGAAATTTAAGCTAAACAGTGGGGTGCACAGAGTCTGAAGAAGGTCCAAGTTGGAGAGATAAGGCACCAAACATAGTGTTTAAGGTCCTGCCCCACCCTATTGCTGATTAAGTGACTTGCTTAGTGTTACACACATAGTCTCTACGTGCCTCAGATGATCGTCTCCAAGATAGAAAAAATGCAGAACCATCCTTCGGAGGGCTTGGTAAGGACAAAATGAGATCAGATATGGCAGAGGACTTTGCACAAATCCAGGTGACTTCTGAGTGTTCAACAAATGGCAACTACTATTTTTCACATCATGTAGCAATTCCCTGGCCTTGCTTTCGAACTAGCTTATTGTTTCTGTATTTGCAGAACTTAGTACAAAAGAAGCTGTTCAAATCCAGTAAGGAAAGGCAGTTGGTGGTGCCTAAATGATGTGGGCAGCATTAGGCAGAGGATCAGAAGGATTGCTGGTGAGCTTCCTCCCAGCGATGAAGAATACATGTCCAAGGAAGTACCCAACACTGAAGTTATAGACTAGGTGCCCTCATTCACAAATGATTTACTAGGATTATTGGGTGGTCTGATTGCATAATGCATTCTGTTTCCATTTAACAATAATTCCTGTTCCACACTCATTTTCAACTATACGATGTAATTATCCTTTTATCCAGGGTCTCTGCTTCTCTTCCACCCTCATTACTGTCTTTTCTGTGCCCTCTTTTGGGTTTCTCTGATGGGCCTAAGGGTGGTAATGAACTGCAATGCAAGTTAGTCATAAAAGCTGGATAGCAAAGAGGGTAAGACTATGGTCTAAGGTGAATTCTTAAGTTATTATTGATAATTCATGACATTTTTCCCTCTGTTGGTATGGGTAGTTAGGACTTGGCTCAACATCTAAGTACAAAGAGTTCATTTTTGTTATTGTTTTCTTTTTACAAAATACAGTAGTTTGAAAATAACTTCACTGTGTAGTGCCAGCAAATGTAAATTACAACTATTCAGATCAACCATAAAACCAAAACAGATGTTAGAATAGCTTGTGGTTTGAATTCTTCTTTGAACTATAGATACTGCTGTAATCAACAGGAATTTGTGAATGTTGCTGGAGACACAAAGATAATATGTATAGACAGAAACATTTTCATTCTTGAGGACTTACTCCTAACTCAGACTTACTAAGTATCACCTCTAGACACAATTTTCAGTCTGGCTGCTTTAATGAGAAGTAAAATATGGTGGAAGACCACCAATGTTGACCTTAGGTGGTACTTTCTACAATTTATATCCCACACAAAATTAT